TGAGATTGTGGATTTGGGGTTTTCATGAGCTGTAAGCCATAATCATCACAATGATGACAAATCACGGCTTGAACTATCTTGCTTTGCATGTAATGAGTCTATTTCATATATTAGTTTCACCTTTTAAGTTGCATTACTGGAATAAATGAACTTTTGCACGGTATTCTAAGTTTTCGAGTTTCACCTGTATATCCTTTCAAACTACTCCTCTCCCTTCCATTAGCAGCCTCCAGGAATTGCCAGGCTGGATGGGTTTGTGTATCTTCAGACCCATTCATAATGTATGCATGGGTTTGAAGGTACAAAAGCATCCACACAATTGTCAGCAGATGAAGTGATGACAATATTACCTCATTAATGTACTCACTTCACAAAAATACATTCATAAAAAAAGAAATATGTGATACAGATAAAAAAAAAAAGGCTTTCAAATATAAAAGAATTAAATGAAAACATTTTATAAAATAATTATATCTCCTTTCCTTTTGCAATTTTTTACCACTTCAGTACCAGACACTTTCACCCCCCTTCCTGCCCCAGGCCAATTTTCAGCTTTCAGCGCTGTGGCGCTTTGAATGACATATTGAGCGGTCATGCAACACTGTACCCATATTACTTTTTTATCATTTTTTGAGACAGATAGAGGTTTTTTTGGTGGTATTTAATCACCACTGGGGTTTTTTATTTTTTGCTAAACAAACAAAAAAAGGCTGAAAATTTTGGAAAAAAAGTTTTTCTTAATTTCTGTTATAAATTTTTGCAAATATATAATTTTTCTTTGTCATTGATGTGGCTGATGAGGCTGCACTGATGGGCACTGGTGAGACTGCATTGATGGGAACTGGTAAGGCTGCACTGATGAGGCTGCACTGATGGGCACTGATGAGGCTGTACTGATGGGCACTGGTGAGGCTGCACTGATGGGCACTGATGAGGCTGCACTGATGGGCACTGATGAGGCTGTACTGATAGCAACTGATAAGCTGCATTGATAGGAACTGATTGGTACTGATGGGGCTGCACTGATCATAGGGGCACTGATGATCAGTGCCATTTAGCTGAGCTGAGTGCATAGTGACCAAAATTAAAATAAACTGGCTGTGAAATGGTGTCAACCTACAAAACCCCGCTTTTTCCATAGGCAGCATTTTAAAAACATTTTCAGATCCTCAGTTTAGAGTTAACTGTATGTAATGGCCCTAAAATAATTCCTCTCACTCTGGCATGCACATCAATACTCAAAATGTACTGTTTAATTGTCGCTTACATATATGCATGCATGCCCTACATTTCACTTACTATTTTTTCACTTAACTGACAATCTCCCTATGTGATAATACATTTTTGGTTACGGGTTTTCTTTATGGAGACATTAGGGGTCTGTTAGTTTCCCAATGCCTCCTTTGCATTCCGCCCAGCTAAACTAAATACAAACTGTACTCATTTGGCTGTTTTCCAGGCCACAGGAGCTGAGATCTGACAGATCTGAACCAGGAGGTGCTCAGAGCTGAGTGCATCCAGGTTCACTCCTTCTCGGATAGGTAAAAAAACAGACATTTCTCTTCTCCCTTCCATCCCTAACTTGGGTTTTAGAAGTCCTGGGCTTACACAAGACGCAGTTGAGACAAGAACAACCATTTTTAATTGAAACAGAACAAATACACTTGTGCTCACCTTCTCACCCTCCAAACCCCCCTATTATTGTTTACTTTGATGTCCAATTGGGGGATTTTTCCCTTCACCTCCTGTCTTGGAGATGCAACAGGAAAGAAAGCAAATATCCAAAGAGATGTCATTCCCATACTGGAGTGTTGTCCCCATTGGAGAATTTGCACTTGTTGATTTGATGAAAACTCATAATGTTTGGACTTCATCTCACTTACTGTCAATTCACAATGGTTACCAGGACACACAGAGTGTGAATCTTCCCAGCTGAACCACAGACAGCCACATAAACTTGACAAGGCCTCAAATCTATCCAAAAAAGCCTAAAAGTTTGCATTTACATAAAATTTAATCTAACCCCTTAACCATTTTATCCCAAAACCTAAACTATCACTTGAACTATAACTTACCAAAATTAGTGTCACCCGAAGATAACATCCCAGTGCTCATATGTACTAGGGTAGAAATCACTGCAACTAAATCTATCTGTACAGAAAGTAATATCTCAGTTATGAACATCATTGATACTTAGAACCTGATAATGATCAGCCTGGAGCTAAAGTTTGAGCACACACACCTAAAATTCTCTTTGTCCTTCTAATTGGATTCAGTTCATCTTCATGAATTTCGGGTATTATCAAACCAGTAACTAAATTAAGAATGAGTTGGAGATTTCTTAAAAACTTGCCCAACAAAATATATTATTTTTGGCCAAAGGTATGACCTCTAGATTTTCCTGCTCTTGGAAATGAGCTTAAATCTCCTTGTCGCATGCTCATACAGTGGCTTCAAAACTTGAGTCAAAAATTTGCTCACTCTCAAGACACATACATAGCAGCCCGCTGATAAGGCAGTACAGCTAGCCCACCTGTACGGGGCCCAGGCCCAGGTGCGGACTGACCATTTGGAAACTCGGGCACTGCCCGAGGGCCTGGGGTCAGTAGGGGGCCCCATGAGATGCCCCTGGTCCTTTTTCATAGGCTTTTTTGAGTTTGGGCAAGGACACAGGGGCCCCATGATCCCCTATTGCCCGAGTTGTCAGTCCACCCCTGCCCAGGCCCTATCAGTTCAACAGGGGGGTCCTGGCACCTGACGAGCAGGAGGTCCAGTGGTACCGCCTTATCACTGAAACCGATTCCCCTGTGGCTCCCCCTGCAGCACAGCCAGCTTCTCCTCTTCTCCCTCCTGCCAGCTTTCAACTGCTGAGGGGAAGCCACAGGGGAGATTGGTTCTAGTATCTGTGCACCCCGTTTCCTGTGTACATTGATAACTGAAGCATAGTAAGCAGTGTTTACTATGCTTCAGTTTGTGAATGAACAGGAAGCCTCTGTACAGAGTGCTTCCCGTTCATCTTCAGTGCAGCTGAGGCTTCAGAGAAAGGGCTTAAGGAATCTATGTCCTCAGTTCCTTTCTCTGTCTCAAAAGTGAGGCATCAGGGGTCTGTTAGGATCCCTAATATTTCACCAAGGCTGTAAAAAAGTTTGTCAGGCAGGCTGTACGGGGCCCTGTGATTTCTAACAGCAGCCATGTACCTACGTTCTTTTAGATAAACCAGCGCATCAACGAAGTGAAACATTCAAGGAAAAAATCCATGGCCATATATTTTGAAGGACTGATCTTCATCCTGGCTCTTTCCCATTCAGCAGCAAGCCATGTAAGGCAATTTTGAGCTCCCAAACAGATGGGGTAAAAAATATGACATTGTTAAGGGAAAGAATTTGTATATTATAGCTGTATTTGAAAATGTTTGGTACACACATTATTGAAAAATTGACTAAAAAACAATAATGAAGTAGAAAGCCAACCTCTGTTTACAAGTCAGTTCTCCATATCAAAACAACCTGATTATATCCCTCTTGGTCATTGACACTCAGCCCGTGTCAATATCAGCATGGGTATACAACTACATCCTGCTCATAACTTCCCATTTGGAGATAATTCCATTTACAGTTTTCACTGTAAACAACCCTCTGGGTACAAGCTGCTTATTGAAACCATTTGCTTCAAAGAATGTTGTTTAATGTGAAAGTTGTTTGTGGGTTGAGTTGTGATAACACTTTTTTGGGGAAACTGATCCTTTATGGCTTTACGGAATGTACAAGTTGAGTCCTATGGAATTTTTGCAACAAAGAACAATTTTAGCGAATACACCGACTCCCCGACTACATGGGAGGTGCTGTTTATAGTTTGGGGTTTGCTGATGGAGTGACATATAACATGTGATGGTTGAATGAGCACTGAATACTCTTAAAATAGCTTGTGCTCTAAATTGCTCATGAACTTTCACATTTCGTTATGGCTTCATTACCCTAAAGCTGAGGAAAAAATAACAGAAGACAGCCTGTTAGAAGATTGAAATCACAAAAAAAAGGAGGAAAAAAATTCAACCTACAGGTTTCTATATAAAAGGATTAGCCATTTTGAGTTTAAAAGTTGAAAATGTCTTCAATGAGAGTTTAATGTCTAGAGACTTGCACTCCGCAGAGCACGGCCAATCAGCTTCTAGACCTGCTCCAAATATGCCAAAGTGGTGGTTGACGTTCTTCAGTTCATCTTTTTCCTATGAAGCAGTATGGTGCTATGTGGATTTTTCCAAATACTTCAAAGGCCTTGGAATAAGTTCCAATCAGTAGGCTGTGAGGGCAGAGAGCTTTGCTACTGGGAGTTACTTGAAGGGTTTTTGAAAAGGGATTTGGAAAAAAACATTTAAAATCTTTTTAATATGTAATAGTTCTCTAGTCTTATACCATCCCATGTAGAAATTATAGGGGTTGGACAAAATTATAGAAACACTAGGTAAAAGGATTAAATCGTTACCTAATGTGGTGTTGGACCGCCTTTGGCATCCAAGATGGCCTGAATTCCCTTGGAAATTGACAAATATAAGTCTTGGATGGTGGATGATGGAATCTGATACTCTTCATGCAAAAATCATTCCAGTTCTCTTAGAGATACTGGAGGCAGAAACCGAGCCTGAACCTTGGTTTCCAAAATGTATGATATTGAAGTCCGGAGACTTTGTGGGTGGGAGACTTTGTCTGCATGTTTGTCAAACCATGATTTGACAACACCAGCTGTGTGAATCAGAGTTTTATCATCTTGGCAAATGGTGCTGTCTTTGGGAAACAATGTCTGCACCATTCGGTGTACATGGTCGGCCAAAATTTGTACATAGTTGCTGGCAGTGGCTCAACCTTTCAAGATGATGATGGGGCCTGAAGAATAACAAGACGTTGCTGCCCAAACCATGATTGTGCCGCCACCATGTTTTACTGTTGGCAGGGATATAGTGAATGCAGGTTCCTGGGAGACCGGATATAGTGAATGCAGGGTCCTGGGAGACCGGATATAGTGAATGCAGGGTCTGGGGAGAGCGGATATAGTGAATGCAGGGTCCGGGGAGAGCGGATATAGTGAATGCAGGGTCCGGAGAGACCAGATATAGTGAATGCAGGGTCCGAGGAGACCAGATGTAGTGAATGCAGGGTCCTGGGAGAGTGAATATAGTGAATGCAGGGTCCAGGAAGAGCGAATATAGTGAATGCAGGGTCCGGGGAGAGCGGATATAGTGAATGCAGGGTCCTGGGAGACCGGATATAGTGAATGCAGGGTCCGGGGAGACCAGATATAGTGAATGCAGGGTCCAGGGAGAACAGATATAGTGAATGCAGGGTCCGGGGAGACCAGATATAGTGAATGCAGGGTCTGGGGAGACCGGATATAGTGAATGCAGGGTCCGGGGAGACCAGATATAGTAAATGCAGGGTCCGGGGAGACCAGATATAGTGAATGCAGGGTCCAGGGAGACCAGATATAGTGAATGCAGGGTCCAGGGAGACCAGATATAGTAAATGCAGGGTCCGGGGAGACCAGATATAGTGAATGCAGGGTCCAGGGAGACCGGATATAGTGAATGCAGGGTCCGGGGAGAACAGATATAGTGAATGCAGGGTCCGGGGAGAACAGATATAGTGAATGCAGGGTCCGGGGAGACCAGATATAGTGAATGCAGGGTCTGGGGAGACCAGATATAGTGAATGCAGGGTCCGGGGAGACCAGATATAGTGATTGCAGGGTCCAGGGAGACCGGATATAGTGAATGCAGGGTCCGGGGAGAACAGATATAGTGAATGCAGGGTCTGGGGAGACCAGATATAGTGAATGCAGGGTCCGGGGAGACCAGATATAGTGAATGCAGGGTCCGGGGAGAGCGGATATAGTGAATGCAGGGTCCGGGGAGAGCGGATATAGTGAATGCAGGGTCTAAGGATTAGTAACACTTTGAGGTCTGCAGACTCTTACGATGTTGATGATTTGGAAATATCTTGGTGACATGCAGCAGTTCTCTTGTATAATGATGGTGATTCCTGACAGTCTCTTGCAACATGTTTGTGGTTTCTTGTTTTTGCCTTTAGGTTGATGTCTCTCCTGTATGGATTTAGTGAATCCTGTTGCTGGAAGGAGTATTATACTGCATTTCTGTGCGATTACTATTTACCAGCACCCCATTAACCTGCCACTAATTGAGCGTGCCTTAAGCCTCACGTTTAGTTGAGCCACTCCTGATTTACTATCAGTAAGAAAGAAACTTGTCATCCTTCCTACGGAAATCTGTCTCCCTGTCTTTAAAGGGACATAACACCCCAGTAACTCTGGCACCTTAAACACTTCACACTGGGGGCTTCATGGGCTAAATGTGTCCCGAATATATTGATATACAAATACCTTGCCAAACCAATCTGTTAACATTCTAAGATGAAGTGAGCTGCCATCTAGATAAAGGAAGGCCTGTGGATGTGGTGTATCTGGATTTTGCAAAAGCATTCACTACAGTCCCCCATAAACGCTCAATGCTGTAGGCATGGACCATAGGGTTTGTTGATAGGCAGAAAACTGGTTACAGGGGTGCATCCAAAGGGAGGTGATACATAGCGTTTACTCAGATTGGTCTGGAGTGGTAAATGGGGTACCCCAAGGATCTGTCCTGCGACCAATTCTGTTTAATGTATCATTAATGACATAGAGGTTGGCATAAATAGCTCAATCTCAGTGTTTTCTGATGATACAATGCTAAGTAGGGCCATAACTTCACAGCAGGATATAGGAGCTTTTCAAGAAGAGCTGAATATAATAAAGAGGAGGACAACTACATGTGAAATGAGGTTTAATGTTGAAAAATGTAAACTAATGCACTTGGGGCTAAAAATATGAATGCTAGTTATTCACTAGGACGAGAACCTTTGGGGGACTCCAAGATGGCAAAAGATCTGGGGGTCCTAGTAGATGACAAACTCAGGGAGTGTAAGAAGACATGGGGGTCATTTAATGAAATTGGATGAGAAGCGGTTTAACCTTAAACTGCATAGGAGGTTTTTCAATATCAGAGCGGTAAGGATGTAGAACTCCATTCCACAATCGGTGGTGTCAGCAGGAAGTATTGATAGTTTCAAAAATCTTTTGGATGAGCATCTTAGTATACAGGGATATGGGAAATGTTCTTTTACACAAACACACACACACCCACACAGTTGAACTGGATAGACTGGTGTCTTTATTCAACCTTACCAACTATGTAACAAAATCCTAACGCTGACGTACAAAGCTGTCCACCATACTGCCCCGAACTACATCACTGACCTAATATCCAAGTACTGCCCAGCACGCACACTCCGCTCCTCACAAGACCTCCTTCTCTCTAGTTCCCTGGTCTCCTCCTCCCATGCCCGCCCCCAGGACTTCTCCAGGGTGTCACCCATCCTCTGGAACTCCCTGCCCCAACCCATCAGATTATCACCTACTCTCCTCTCCTTTAGGCGCACCCTGAAAACCCATCTCTTCAGGGAAGCCTACCCCACCCCCCCCTGCTGCTAACTTGCCGACCTCCTCCACTCTTCCTACCACTCCCTCCCCCACAGCTATCTCCTCCTGTACCACCATCCCCTCCCTCCTAGATTGTAAGCTCGAAAGAGCAGGGCCCTCAATCCCCTCATGTTTTGCATTGTATTGGTATTGTTCTGTCACATGTTCTGTCCCTCTTTGTAATGTACAGCGCTGAGCGAACTATTGGCGCTTTATAAATACTGTATAATAATAATAATAATGTAACTAAAGTGTACCACATGAGGTGTATCATGGTGCTGCATGATGAAAGGGGGGTGTTCCCAAAGGCCATGGTTTACTAACATACACCAATTCTATCAATACACACCAATTCACATCTTCCACGTTACATTTCCACAAAGCAGGTTGGTGCAGGAAGACTTCCATTTGCAAAACATAGTTAAGTGTCCCCACCTACAGCCACTAACTCGACATTTTTTTTTTGTACTGGCCCAGAGGGAAAATGCCCTCCTGTCCCTTAGACCGCTCCTTCCATGATTACGTAGTATATAATCTAGAATAATCAAGATGGATGAGTGTAGAGAGTTTCAGTCTTTCAACTACAGGTCTTCTATTAACAATTTTAAAGCTAAATCAAACTAACGGGTCCACAGAGCTTTCAACTGCATCAAAGAATTAATAAATGAATAAGAGGCACTAAGAATTAGTCGTCAAATGGGACGTCTTCATGCATCCCACACACTGGGTGCCTATTCATTTGGTCCTACACAAGGTCCTTATAAGTAGGCACCCAGTGTGTGAAATGTACTAAGGCTTCCCTTTTGATACCTGATTGCTAGTACTTCTTACCCACCTTTGATCCAGCAGCAAGTACCATGGAATGATTTGCTTGATTTATGTACTTGAAAAGGCATGACCAGGTAAGGTCCAAGAAACATGAGATACCTTTGCACATTGCATGTGAATACCAGTCTCCCTAGCAGCAGCTGCAGAGTAAAATATAAAAGGTAAGCCTCCAGGCTAAGGATCTGCGCACTTGAAATATTACAAAAATATTAAAGACATCTCAAAAATGTTTCATCTTACGTGCTTCACCATTAACCAAAAGGACAAGGTCACAAACAGCCTTTATTAACCTTTTCACCCTAGAGAAACCCTTAAAATAAACCCTTAAAATAAATTTTAGGCCTCAGGGAACCTTTACTAAAATAAATTCAATTGGGGCTATTGAGAAAATATTCCTTACATTGATGATCAGTGGGAAGAAGTGGCATTTTGATCAATCCCTACAGCAGTGATCAGAATACCACCTTTAAAGACAGCTGTAAGGATGATTGGTGTCATGCTGCTGACTGGTGGAAAGTCTTTTATCCACAGCTCAAGGAGCCCCTAACAAGCTCTGGAGTAACCCTAAGCCATGATTGGGATTATCATTATTGCTTGTTTTAGATGTATAATGTGCTTGGCATTCTCTAAAAGGTCATTAATTTTCTTTAAGACATCTTATACTACTTTGGGGTTTATTATGGAAGAATGACTTCTTGTCCTCCAGTTTCATTCCATCAAATACTCTTTATCGAGGCAGAAAAAATATCCCTATCACGTTGTGCTCAACTTTCTCCTTATTTGCCAAAAACGAATTTGCACGTAGATACCATAGACTTGATTATGGTTTGCGGTTTCCATACTGCTTATAAAATGTTTAGGTTCATGGATCATTGCCTTACGTCTTCTCTAAGGACATCTGTTCCTGTTTGTTCCATCTCCAACAAACAATAATCAACCTCACAGATCTAAAGCAGACATCAAGAAGAAGAAGATCCCTTCAGGCTAGTCCTCCTAAGACAGAAATCCTAACCAGTGAATGCCAGTCCAATCAGACTACGGGGGTCTTTGTAGAATGTTATGGCTTGTGGTTTCGATAAACCTTAAGCACCAAGAATCTAAGACCTGAAGGGCTTGCAATCTCATCCTGCCTCTGTGATGACCTGCCAATGATGATCTGACTTGATCTTCTAAACACTTAACATTTCTGCTTAGAGGATGTGGTGCAGACGCAAAACCCTTACGCATTTATTCGTATTTAGATAACCAACTCTTTTTACTCCTACTATGAAAGAATAAAAAGTGGGATATCACAGTATTAGCTGTCTTAAGAACAAAACACAGAAAGGAAAAAGATTAGCATTTTTGAAATATTGAAATTTTCTTAAATTGCCTGCTGTTTTGAAATGTTTTGATTGACTTTGTTTCATTTTCAGACATCATTAAAGACCAACGGAACCTTCAATTCAAAGCAGACAAATACACTCTAGGTCAGTGGTTCTTAACCTTGTTGGAGGTACTGAACCCCACCAGTTTCATATGTGCATTCACCGAACCCTTCTTAATTGGAAAAATAAAATATGATTTTTAAAATTCAAAACATAGGTATATATTTATACATAGGTGCACAAAATGAACAAAACCGTTAAGAACAAAACCATTAAAACATGATTTTCACACAAAAACAAAAACATAATAATGAATATTTACTGCACGAATCATATGAGTCGGGTGTGGGTCTTCACCTCTGCCAAACCCACGAGACTGACTCACTGAACCCCTGGGGTTCGATCGAACCCAGGTTAAGAACCACTGCTCTAGGTGCTTCAAAACAAAAAGTGCTCAATCAAAATGTTATAAGAAAAGCGCCACACCCTCCAACTCCAAAGCAGCAAATTCCCCACTCAAAAAATCAACAAAATTTTTTGCTTAAACAAATAAATAAATAAAAGGAATGCGCTAATTGAGTAAATAATACAAAGTGAATATAGGAAAAAAAAAAAATATTGCATATAAAATTATACAAAAAAAGTGTCCATAAATAATGTCCAAAAAGATTTTTAATTAATGTCCACACTGTTAGAATCACCACAAAAAAAATGTTTTTAAATCACCCAACTAAGCTCAAAAAAATAAAAAATAATACAAATACCTTTTTGCTCTAGGCAATATATAACAAATCAATTCTTGAATACAATACTGTGTAAATCAACGAACAAATTTTCCTCCAATGAAAAGTGTTATTGTGTGAATCAACGAACAATTTTTTTCAGATAAAAAAAACCACCATTCAAAGATATAATAAGGATATACCGCAATCCGATTCTTAGATGCGAGAAATGAACGAATTTTCAGATGAAACTCCACCATTCAAGGGTGTAGGTAATTTCCAGGAATATATCTCAGGACTCTTTCGTATATTTCCATACCATAGGGACCATGTTTAAAGGCAAGAAAAAAGAATCATGGTGCAGCGAGTTTTAAACATATAACAAACTTTTTAATGAACGAATAAAACTCACAAGTCAGGTGTCTCCACCGACACCAGTTTTACAAGCATGTGTTTTAGGCAATCGTGCACAAACGTATCTTCGTTTACTCTGGATCTACTCCTCTCACGTCCAAAGAATGTCTTAGACGTCAGCATCCAGCAGGCCACGCCCTACTCGTTTCGTCACCGACGTCCTCACAAGGCGGTCTGGATGCAGACGTCTACTCCCTATAATATATACCGTTCATTCGTATGCCAATCACATAACATGAAAGGCGATAGGTGCGGCGGATATCATACAATCTAAAACAAAGTGCTCAATGTCTTACAGTTTTGTCTCGTTTCAAAGAACCAGAGCCTCCAATTAGCAAAGCTCATGCACTCCGCTAGTTAGAGAGCTGTAGCTCTGACTCAGCAGGAGGCATGTCAGACCTGTGCAGAGAGACCACTGCTTCCATACAGACATGAAGGGTCCTTCTCTGCAGCATTCTGACAAGGGATAGACTTTTCTACTCAGGATGTGGCTAACATTTAAAGAAAACACTTTGCACACCTTTTGTTTTGATGCATCCATAATGTATTCAGCTGATATAAACTAAAACTTCAATTGAGCTTTAAATGGCAAGTTCATTAAAAACTCTAAAATAATCCCAATCCCAAACTCTAAAAAATCCCAACTGCTCCTCCGTAGCCATCTATATACATTAAGTTGATCCATCTGCCCATAGGTTCTTGCTTGTGTACCTCCAATCCATTGTCTTCATCCCAGCAGGTAAAAATCTAGTACCTGTACTGAATTTAAGTCTATTCCATGCCCCTTTCACACTGTTCATTCAAGTGGGATGCCATAGGAGGTAAGTAAAGACCTGAGGGGGGTGGTTCCATTAAGTATATAACAATTTTCTAATCTCCCTACCTAAAAAATGTTTACATTCCAGGCAAAATTAATGTAGCCCTCTTTTGAAGGGGTATGAAAATGTCCCCCCCCCCCCCCAAACAGGATATTCTTCTAAAACTGTATGTAAATAAGAGAACCAGAACCTTTACTAAGTGGAAGAGTGGGTTTTATTAGAAATGTGGCAGTGCCTCCACCCAGGACATGACCTTTGTGAGCAGAGGGGATGCCCTTCTTGTGAAATTAATCAGTGATCTAATCACAGTAATTGGAAGCAGAACAACTACTGCGCCCAACATGTAACATTAACCATAAGTACAGTACATCAGTATAGAAATAATACAAGCTTTATATAAGAAATGATTAATAACAGTACATACATCAAGTATTATCAGCAAAAGGTCTGATAGGAGTCCTGGGGGAATTGTGCACATATACCCTGAGGATGATGCAGTATCTGTCTTTGTGTCAGGGACCTGAATTCAAGATCAGTGGCCACAGGGTATCCTTCAACTGTTGTCCGACCAGCCTGGAATGTGGCTTCTCAATGGCAGGAGCTGTGGTGTTGTCAGGAATGGACTTGCCAATAGTGGTGGGACTCACCTGCCTTGTGGGCTGCAGTACCAGGGCTGGCCAGCGGGTGCTCTCAACAACCAGAGGTTCACTTCGGCAATTAGCCATCACCTGAAGCTTATTGCAGGGGTTGTATTTAAGGGATGGCCAGACCTGCAGTCTGTGCCTTGGTGTGTGTTTTTTCCATGGGCCCCTGTATCTTGTAACCTGCATTCCTGTTCCTGCCTGACTTGTTGCCGACCCTGCCAGATCCTGACCTCTGCTGACTTCTCCTATTTGATCCCTGGCTTGTGACCCTGACCATTCTCTGCCTGACCCCCTGTACCTACCTGTCCGTTAGTTATCGACCCGGCCTGCCTGACTACGTTGTGCTCTATATGTGTATGTACCTGTGTATCTATATCAGTTTAGGTTTGGGTTTGTTTCACCTTGTTGTATGTATTTGTGTTAGCTTGGGGTTTGGTGCACTGCATTTATATTTTGTATTGTTAGTCTTAATAAATTGTCTTATTTATACCATATCTGAAGCTTGCGTTTCCCTGTGTCAGTCCACACATCTCTGGTCACACCCGCATCCCTGACAGGTGTGGCACTGGAAATCAGAGTCAGCATATCTACTCTTATCTACTTAGTCTCTTCCTATTATTTATAATAGTCTCGTCTGGCTTGTGGATTAGCAGCATGGATTGGATATGTAGCTGAGACTTTCTCTCTCTCTCTCAGCTTCCTCCTTCCAGGTTTTCAAAGCCAACTGCTCAGGGGCAGGAAGTGTACACATAATATATATTTACAGGCATTTACAAATTCAGGCAGTAGAGAGCAGCAGATCCCTACACTAATTTCTAACTATATCACCCTGCCACCCATCTCTAACCTATCCTGATACTCTCCTTCCCCCCTCCTCCTTACCTGGTGAATGCAGATATACTCACATTCGTCCCCAGTCCAGGTTCCTCACTGCCATTAGTTCTGCAGAGGGACTTTAAAGTGAAACTTCAGTCTCCTTTTTACTGACCCCCTTTCAGTACCACCATTATGGCACGTGCACAGATGTGCCAAAGGAGTCTGCTAAGCCTTCCGGTCCTGGCAGAGGCCTTCATCACTTCTGCTCATGAGCAAAGATGGCAAAGGTTTTGAACTTCCAATAACTTCTTTGTGCATGTGCCATACAGAGAAATACTTCCTGTCAGCCATGAGCCTATTCCCATTTTTTACAGCCGGCAATCACTTTTATGGTACTGGGAAGGGCTGCCCTCTCAGTACATGAAAAATGAAAAAATTGCTCTGTAGTGGTTAATAGAGATGAGCGAATTATTCAAAAATTCGATTCGGCTGATTCGCCGAATTCGCGGAATAAATTCGATTCGAGGCAAATATATTCGCTGCTAATTTAACTTATAAAAAGGGTGTTTCTAGGCTTCAGAGAGCCTTTATATTAGTGCAGAACACTCACTATACCTTTAATTTAAATGCCCTTGGAGTCTGCTGGGGAAGAGAAATAATACTGTCAGTCAGTATGACATGCAGATGAGTGCCGTCGATCTTAGAATCACCGCACACTTCACTCATTTGGGCAGTCACGGGGCCAAAACAAGAGTGTGGAGCCACAGTGTGGCGGTGGAGGCAGCAGCAATGGGAGGCCATACAGCACCCTATGACAAAATGGAACCCACCAGCAGTGTGAGGAGACCTGAAAGTGGCACATGGCAGAGTGTGGCGATGGAGACAGCAGCAATGGGAGGCCGTACAGGGACCCATGACACACTCTGGACCTGGCAGCAGCATGAGGAGGAGGTACAGGGGCCCATGACAGATTACGGGCCTGGCAGCAGCAGTGGGCGGGGGCGGTGGATGCAGCAGTATTCGGAAGCCAAACACAGGCCTTGGTTAAAAAGCGGAAGCCGTCAGCAGCGTGAGCAGACGACAGAGGCACATGGTGCAGGGTGGCGGTGGAGGCAGCAGTATTCGGAAGCCAAACACAGGCCTCGGTTAAAAAGCGGAAGCCGTCAGCAGCGTGAGCAGACGACAGAGGCACATGGCGCAGGGTGGCGGTGGATGCAGCAGTATTCGGAAGCCAAACACAGGCCTCGGTTAAAAAGCGGAAGCCGTCAGCAGCGTGAGCAGACGACAGAGGCACATGGCGCAGGGTGGCAGTGGAGGCAGCAGCAATGGAAGGCCATACAGCACCCTATCACAAAAATGGAACCCACCAACAGTGTAAGGTGACCTGAAAGTGGCACATGGCGCAGGGTGGCGGTGGAGGCAGCAGTATTCGGAAGACATACACAGGACTAGTTTAAAAAGCGGAAGCCGTCAGCAGCGTGAGCAGACGACAGAGGCACATGGCGCAGGGTGGTGGTGGAGGCAGCAGTATTCGGAAGCCATACACAGGCCTAGGTTAAAAAGCGGAAGCCGTCAGCAGCGTGAGCAGACGACAGAGACACATGGCGCAGGGTGGCGGTGGATGCAGCAGTATTCGGAAGCCAAACACAGGCCTCGGTTAAAAAGCGGAAGCCGTCAGCAGCGTGAGCAGACGACAGAGGCACATGGCGCAGGGTGGCGGTGGAGGCAGCAGCAATGGAAGGCCATACAGCACCCTATCACAAAATGGAACCCACCAACAGTGTAAGGAGACCTGAAAGTGGCACATGGCGCAGGGTGGCGGTGGAGGCAGCAGTATTCGGAAGACATACACAGGACTAGTTTAAAAAGCGGAAGCCGTCAGCAGCGCGAGCAGACGACAGAGGCACATGGCGCAGGGTGGCGGTGGAGGCAGCAGCAATGGGAGGCCATACAGCACCCTATGACAAAATGGAACCCACCAGCAGTGTGAGGAGACCTGAAAGTGGCACATGGCAGAGTGTGGCGATGGAGACAGCAGCAATGGGAGGCTGTACAGGGACCCATGACACACTCTGGACCTGGCAGCAGCATGAGGAGGCGGTACAGGGGCCCATGACAGATTACGGGCCTGGCAGCAGCATGAGGAGTTGGTACGGGGGCCCATGGCAGATTACGGGCCTGGCAGCAGCATGAGGAGGCGGTACAGGGGCCCATGGCAGAGTGGCGGAGCGTAAGCAGCTAAAATTGAAGGGCCATACAGAGGCCTATGTTAAAAAGTCCCCCCAGCAGCAGCGTGGGGAGACGACTAATAGTCGTCTCCCCACGCTGCTGCTGGGGGGACTTTTTAACATAGTCCTCTGTATGGCCTTCAATTTAAGCTGCTTACGCTTCGCCACTCTGCCATGGGCCCCTGTACCGCCTCCTCTTGCTGCTGCCAGGTCCAGAGTGTGTCATGGGTCCCTGTACGGCCTCCCATTGCTGCTGACTTCATCGCCAGACTCTGCCATGTGCCACTTTCAGGTCTCCTTACACTGTTGGTGGGTTCCATTTTGTGATAGGGTGCTGTATGGCCTTCCATTGCTGCTGCCTCCACCGCCATCCTGCGCCATGTGCCTCTGTCGTCTGCTCATGCTGCTGACGGCTTCCGCTTTTTAACCGAGGCCTGTGTTTGGCTTCCGAATACTACTGCATCCACCGCCACCCTGCGCCATGTGTCTCTGTCGTCTGCTCACGCTGCTGACGGCTTCTGCTTTTTAACCTAGTCCTGTGTATGGCTTCAGAATAATGCTGCCTACACCGCCACCCTGCGCCATGTGCCTCTGTCGTCTGCTCACGCTGCTGCCAGGTCCATACTGATTCATGGCCCCCTGTACCGGCTCCTCATGAACGTGGTTCAGCGGGGTTTGCATCACTTAACGGCAAATTGTTGACAAACGCTGGGACGTTCAGTGTTGTGCGCATTAAGCCAGACACCAAAGGGCAGCACAGACCTGTTATTACTCGCTCAAGCATGGCTGAACAAAACCAGTCTCTACCACAAATTGGACCCAGACCTGCCCAGGGTCTCGTAAGTAGATTGCACGGAGGAGTAGAGTTCGTTATTGGAATTAACTGTGAGGGACTTTTAAACCTAGGCCTGTGTATGGCCTTCAATTGAAGCTGCTTCTGCTCCGCCACTCTGCCATTGGACTCTTGATAGTCGTCGACATTTTAAGGATGTCTTGCAGTGGGATGGTGGATTTTAGGAACCGCTTGACAACCAGATTGAACACGTGAGCCATGCATGGCGCATGGCACAACCTTCCTTGACACAGAGCAGACACCATGTTCTTTCCGTTGTCGGTCAACATGGTTCCGATTTTCAGTTTGCGCGGAGACAGCCATCTGTCGATTTCTCTGTTCATTACACTCAGAAGTTCCTCCCCTGTGTGACTACGTTCGCCAAGGCATACCAGGTGCAGCACAGCGTGACACCGTTGCGCCCTGCACATGTGATATGCCGGTCGGGTAATGGGACTTGGCACGGGGGGTGGCGGCTGAGGACACGGCGGAAGAAGAGGTGGTAGAGGCGGACATCTTTGCTGGACCAAGGACGTGCAAACATGGAGGCAAAAGTGGCGTGACCTGTCCAAGTTGCTGGTGCGGCTGTGCCGGCACCACGTTCACCCAGTGGGCCGTAAATGACATGTACTGTCCCTGACCGTAGTTACAGCTCCACACATCGGCGCTGCCGTGCACTTTGGCAGAGACCGACATGCTCAAAGACTGGCCCACCATCTCTTCTACATGTGAATGCAGGGCTGGCACTGCCTTTTTGGCGAAGAAATGCCGGATTGGCACTCTCCACCGCGGCTTTGGGCCAAGCCATCATTTCTCGGAAAGGTGCTGAGTCCACCACTTGGAAAGGGAGGGACTGCAGCACCAGCAACTTGGACAGGAGGACGTTCAGCTTCTGCACCGTCGGGTGCGTGCTCGCAAACTGTTGTCTCTTGGAAACGGATTCCAAGAAAGACTGCTGACGGAATCCGTGAAGAGGAGTAGCAGGAGAAGGAGCATCTGAACGAGCGGAAGATGCCAACAAGCGACAACTCCCCTCAGCAGAGGTGTTGGAGCCTTGACTGGCTGATAGAGGGCGATTGACGTCGGGTGACGGAGCAAAGTAACGGAGCGGATGATGGAGCGGGGGCTGGGGCAGGCAGAACCGCCGTATCTTTATCACGGTTTTCCCAGGCCACCGAATGGCGACGCTGCATATGCTGACGCAACGCTGTAGTCCCAACATGGGCCCCCTGGCCACGCTTGACTTTCTGGCCACATAGTCGACATACGGCTACGTTTACTTCCTCGGGCGGCTTGACGAAAAATTGCCCACACTGCCGAATAGGAAACTTTGCCCCCGCTACTCCTCACTGGCTGACTGCTACTTCCTCCGTGCACACCGGCACCACTACTGGCCGTGGTGGTAGGCTGCAGTGGAGCTGGTGCTCTACTCCGTGGCCGTTTGCCTTCACTGACACTGCTGCGACCCTGCTGCCTCCTGGGCAACCCACCGACTGTTTTGCTCGCTGGCAAGCTGGCACCCTCTTCTCCTGATGATGCGGAAGCAATTGCCTGATGACGACGAGGCTGCCAAGTGCGATCAGCCTCATCATCATCAATTAGGGTCCCCGCGTCACTACTAGCCCCCTCGCTGCATGTGGGTCAGGAGACAGACCTGTCTCTAGACCGGCTACCGAGCCACTCTCCTCGCCAGTACTTCTTCGCCTGGCTGCTGAAGAGGCGGATGTCTCCCCCCGTTCCTGACCGCCCTCTGTTAGCTCTTCCTCACTGTACAGTGGGGCTGAGCCCACAGCATGCGATACTTCGCTTGGTGAGGGAACACCAAAGGACAGGGGCAGGTAGAGGACACATGATATCAGTGGGCTTGCTCCCGGGCCATGCCAACTAACGGTTGTGTCTGACGTACCCACTGACCGTTGGCTGTAGGTGTCAGAGGTGACCTGGGAAGAGGAAGACGACCGAGTCAACCAATCGATGACGGCAGGGTTGTCGGTGGAGACACGACCGCTGGATGACACCGGGAGCACTGGCCTCTGGCTGCGACTAGTGCTGCCTCGACCCCTTCCTCTGCTGCCACGTCTGCTCGCTCCTGAAACATTGCCTCCTCTGCCACTCCTCTGCGTGTTGTCTGACATACTCTTTAATTCAATAAGCACCTCAAACATAAAACCGGATTTTAACTCTTTGAACGTACAATAGTGGTTGTGAAGCAGAAAGTAACGATTCTGTGTCCCTGAGTAACAATTCTGTGTCCCTGAGTAACGATTCTGTGTCCCTGAGTAACAATTCTGTGTCCCTGAGTAACAATTCTGTGTCCCTCAGTAATGATTCTGTGTCCCTCAGTAACAATTCTGTGTCCCTCAGTAACAATTCTGTGTCCCTCAGTAACGATTCTGTGTCCCTGAGTAACAATTCTGTGTCCCTGAGTAACAATTCTGTATCCCTGAGTAACAATTCTGTGTCCCTCAGTAACGATTCTGTGTCCCTCAGTAACGATTCTGTGTCCCTGAGTAACAATTCTGTGTCCCTGAGTAACAATTCTGTGTCCCTCAGTAACGATTCTGTGTCCCTGAGTAACAATTCTGTGTCCTTGAGTAACAATTCTGTGTCCTTGAGTAACAATTCTGTGTCCCTCAGTAACGATTCTGTGTCCCTGAGTAACAATTCTGTGTCCCTGAGTAACGATTCTGTGTTCCTGAGTAACAATTCTGTGTCCCTGAGTAACAATTCTGTGTCCCTGAGTAACAATTCTGTGTCCCTCAGTAACGATTCTGTGTCCCTCAGTAACGATTCTGTGTCCCTGAGTAACAATTCTGTGTCCCTGAGTAACAATTCTGTGTCCCTGAGTAACAATTCTGTGTCCCTCAGTAAACGATTCTGTGTCCCTGAGTAACAATTCTGTGTCCCTGAGTAACAATTCTGTGTCCCTCTGTGTCCCTGAGTAACAATTCTGTGTCCCTGAGTAACAATTCTGTGTCCCTCAGTAACGATTCTGTGTCCCTGAGTAACGATTCTGTGTCCCCTGAGTAACAATTCTGTGTCCCTGAGTAACAATTCTGTGTCCCTCAGTAACGATTCTGTGTCCCTCAGTAACAATTCTGTGTCCCTCAGTAACGATTCTGTGTCCCTGAGTAACAATTCTGTGTCCCTGAGTAACAATTCTGTGTCCCTGAGTAACAATTCTGTGTCCCTCAGTAACAATTCTGTGTCCCTCAGTAACAATTCTGTGTCCCTGAGTAACAGTTCTGTGTCCCTGAGTAACAATTCTGTGTCCCTCAGTAACGATTCTGTGTCCCTGAGTAACAATTCTGTGTCCCTGAGTAACAATTCTGTGTCCCTCAGTAACGATTCTGTGTCCCTGAGTAACAATTCTGTGTCCCTGAGTAACGATTCTGTGTCCCTGAGTAACGATTCTGTGTCCCTGAGTAACGATTCTGTGTCCCTGAGTAACAATTCTGTGTCCTTGAGTAACGATTCTGTGTCCCTGAGTAACGATTCTGTGTCCCTGAGTAACAATTCTGTGTCTGTCCCTGAGTAACGATTCTGTGTCCCTGAGTAACAATTCTGTGTCCCTGAGTAACAATTCTGTGTCCCTGAGTAACGATTCTGTGTCCCTGAGTAACGATTTTGTGTCCCTGAGTAACGATTCTGTGGCCCTAAAGTCTCTGTGGCCCTAACTCTGTCCCTAATACAGACAGGTCTGTCTCTCTTGAATGACCGGAGGCTAATGGAGAATTCTAAGATGGCCGCGATTTATAGCTCCACCATTACACAGTGCTGGCTGGCTGGCTGCTGATTGGCTAATGCGATCACATGTCATGAATGAATGCATTATGGGTCAGCGCGCCTTGTCTGCGCGCCTTCCCAGAGATCCCCGCTCCGTCGCCACACATGTCGCCGCCATTTTTGGGAAAATTCGATTCGTGCATCCGAAGTTTGCTAATTTTCGGATTCGGCGCGAATCGAATTTTTCCTAATCTTCGAAACGAATTCCACTTCGTCATGTTCGATTCGCTCATCTCTAGTGTTAACCCATTCCCACTTGCCTCAGTGTCCCTTTAAAAGGTTCTAAACACCAAGTGGGGAAAGAGTGTTGGTGATTATGTGACCACTGTGACTGGATGTCATCGATTGGGAACCGGTCCTACCAGCTA